ATTTAAGAGGAGATTAATCTGCACTTAATCATACATTTAATCTGCACTTAAATGGTCAATATTGCCTATTTAAATTAAATATGAGATACGCAACCCCGTGTTTGTACCAAACAACCAAGATTGATAGATGGGTGGTTTATAAATTTTGCCAGAGAAACAATCGTTCAGTACAAAATGTAAACAAACAAACAAATGCAACAACAATTTCAAGAAGCTAGCAACAGTGTTGGCAATTGTTTGGCATATTTAAATAAACTTGATCTGAAACCCAACGAAAGCTAAATGGCATTTAAGTAACAATCCAAAATTTAACTTAAGTGCCGTTTAAATATTCATTTGAAATTGGCCCTGACTCTGCCTTTAGAGCGCAAATTCTTTATATACAGTAGTGCTTCAAGTCATAAGAACGGTTGAAAAATTTTATGCAAAACTAACTAACTTAAAATGATTATATATATGTCTCTTTTCGGCCTCGGAATAAACCACCACGAAAAAATATGGTGGTCCCAAGACTGAAATTTTGTAAAATCTACTGGAACAAGGGGATCACTTTTAGAAAATTATTATAGGAAATGGTTGAGCAAAAAATAAGGTACTTCTATTTCATATTTTTTAAATTATCTTCTGGCTTACTTTAGTGCCAAAATTACGTTGAACATTCTCAGCGACTCAGTAAAATATGTTCGAAAGCACCCAGGAGAAGAGCTGCTTTTTTAGTGTATCCAACAACGCATACTTCCTTCGGTTGTGGTGTTGGGTGCTATTAGCTCCGAAAGCCCAGGAGCTGCTTATTTTGTGGAAGGTAGGAAAATAATTTGAGGTATTAAAGGAGGATTTCATATAGTACGCTGAGCAAAACAGAGAGAGTAAAGACGAAGGGCATGTTGGTGCATTTTACCACACAGAAAATACACAATTGAAAAGTGAATTAATGTCAATGACATTATTTCCACAATTCTTCTGACATTTCACTTTTGGCCTGTGTATTAATGTCATTGACATTTCACTTTTCAATTGTGTATTTTTGCCAGTGACAGTAATTCCATTGACATTATTGTACGTCACCTAGAAAGACAAAGCGACAAAGGACTTCATTGCCTTGGTTCTGCTCTTCCTCTTCTTATTTGGCCCTGTAACCGCCTAAGCGATTTTGGTCGAGTTCAACAAAACACGCTAGTCGTTTCTCTATTGTGGCAACTGACGCCAATTGGAAATTCCAAGTGAAGCCAAGTCCTTCTCCATTCGGTCTTTCCATCGCAGTGGGGGCTTTGGCTTCCTCTGCTACCACCAGCGGCTTCCGAGTGGAATAATTTCAGAGCTCGTGTCCATCAAAAATCAATGCTTAATATAAATAAATAAGAAACACAACTTCCAATTTCCAAATTATCAATATAATAGGCTAATGATCATATCACAGAAGTGTGAATTAGCTTGATCAATTTAGCCACTAGATTTACAAAAGCGGCTGATAAGTTTCTAAAAGCATTCGAATATACATACCTTCCTCGTTCCTTTCTTACGCGTACGCGTAGCCGTACATGAAAATAACTGCAAGCCCAAGAAACAAGAATAAATTAGATGCAGATATCTAGAGGTCCCTGCGGACCCTGTCGTGCATCGACGCCATGATGACCTCAATCCGTTGATTATGACGAACGATATCTATAAACCGTGTTAGAAGCTATTTAAATAGATTCTAAACCTTCCATTTGTGGCAGTAAAGTTAGATCGAACCGGATTAAAATGCCGCATCTATTAAAACATCATGGGTCCCTGGGGACCCTGCCGGGCAGCAGAGGGTTAATGGCAAAAATGCAACATCAAACATGTATATTTCAATAAAGTAATTTATAATCGAAAAAAGGCATTTCCCATAAAATCCGTTCCCTGGCCATTACGTTTGTTTATTGAAAGCGAGAATACGTGCCTTTGAATAAAGTAAAGTGCTAATTATTAATATAGTGCGCAGGGCAGCTTAAAGTTATGTTATTTGTGTATAATAGGGTATAGTCGTTGTTCTGGGTACGCAGGTGCAGTTGCTCGGCTATACTCAATCCCGACTCTTGCGCACTCCTTTGCGCACTCTGCACTGAAAATAAAATCTGCGTAAATATAACGAAAACTTGCGTACATTTTACGAAATTTTTCGTCATTTTGAGCCACGAAAGTTTTCGTTGATTGTACAAAACCGTTTTCGTACATACTACGAAAATATGAGGCATCAGATCTTTAGTACATTTTACGAATGTATTTGTACTATTTACTAACGAATTTAGTGCTATTTATTAAAGAATTTCGTGCTATTTCTTAGTTTTTTACGAAATTTTTGTAAAATGCACAGAAATAATTCGTATATTTAACGAAATTATTTTCGTAAAATCTGCGCTTGTTTCGTAGAATGTGCGATTGCTTTCATTCTCCACACTGTAAAAAACATATTACTATAATTCTACTTTTATTTTGTTAATTTCAAGCGTTTTTGTTTAACAAAATGTTTTGCAAAAATGCTTAACATTAATGATTAAAATATAATGAAAGTGTTGTGCTATAATTTGAGTCATGTTTTTTCTAGTGTTAATAATAAAAGCAATCATACATCCTACGAAAGAAGAAGAATAATTTTCTGACTACACTGTAGTTTAAAATTAATAAAAAAGGTTATTTTACCTATAATAAAACTTAAGTCTTTTATTTATATGCATACGAATAGGTTCTATACTAAATATTTTTTTACTGCTTAGGCTTCATCCAATAAAGTATATTGATGAAAAGTGTTAAACTATGAGACTCAACAAAACTAAATATAACAAGTAAGCAAGTCTAAGTTCGGGCGGAGCCGAACATTAAATACCCGGCGCAAGTATTAAATATATGTTTTCACCTTTCCGAAAGCTACGCTACATGCTAAGCCGGGGTGTATCAATTTTGAGTAAATTAGCGTCCTTAAATTGCGAAATATTGAAGTTTCAAGCATTTCTTAAATTTACCGTTATATGAAAAGCGGCCGTAATTTTAGTCCGATTTCAATAAAAACGGTTACCGAGAGACATATATATTTATGTGATCATAAGTGGGCGGTGGCACGCCCATTTTCCAAAATTTTAACATCAACGTATTTCTTGGTAAAGAATTGTTGCAAGCATCAATTTTGAATAAATTACCTTTAATATTTTCTGATTTATCGAAGATTTCGTATTTCTCTAAATTACCGTTATGTGGAATGTGGGCGTGGTTATTGTTCGATTTCGGCTAACAACTGCGCCAAGTTTGGAAGAAATTGGTGCAGCGGTTACCAAGATATACACATGTAACCATAAGTGGGCGTGGCTACGCCCATTTTCCAAAAATTTATAATATTCTTATTTTTCGTCTGAAAATTATTGTAAATATCAATTTTGAGAGAATTATTTTCAGTAGTTAATAAAATATCGCAGTTTTCGTATTTCTGGAAATTACCGTTATATGGGAAGTGGGCGTGGTTACAGTCCATTTTCAATACCAACCTACCTTGGATTAACGGAAACCTACATGGCAACCGGACAGACAGACATGGCTCAATCGACTTCTCTATTCATTCTGAGCATTTATGTATGCATTTGTCTATATCTATATCGATTCGTTTTGGCTGTTACAAACAACCGTTATGTGAACAAAGTAATTATAAGGCGTCTGAAAAACAAGTTTCAGTGAAAAATCATACATGTACATACTTACTATTAATTTCATTAAGTAGTGCTCCTGGCTTAGGCTTGCCGTTGATAGGTAACTGATGAAATTGCCTATTTATCAAGTCCCACATTGCAGCGCAAAAACATTGTATGCTTAAAGGCATAGTATATCCACAGCTTTAATATTTAATTTTGTATTGTATTTTTATCCAGCAAATCCCTTTTTACAACGTTTAAAATTATATTAAAGCATAAACAGACGGCAGCGTTGATCCGGATCAACTCGGGAATTAACTGCAGTTGATCCGGATTAAGATCGAGTTAATCCGCATCAACGCTGTCGGTTGTTTAAGCTTTTATACGTCCCAGCAGCCAACAAGTAATTCCGCAATGACACATACTCAAAAATATGATGAAATATTAAACTGCCGGTAATTTAGTATATTGTCCGAAAATATTCGTATGTTGTACGAATTAAAAAAAAACATGTTTCTGCATTAGTACTTTATACGAAAGTATTAACTAAATTGTACGAATACAGAATTGTAGAGTTCGTAAATTTTTAAACCATACGTAAATATTACGAATGCCTTCCTACAATATACAAAATTATTCGTACAGAGATTTGTTCAGTGCTTTACGAATGTGTTTCGTAAAATAAACGTAAGATTTCGTACTGTACTAAATTAATTGTACTAAAAAATGCCTCAGGAAAGTCCTTTCGTTATATTTACGTATGGTTCGTAAAATATTGTTTCGTTGTCAAAAACGTGTTCGTATTATGAACGAAAGTTTCGTACATTGTACAAAAACCAAGACTACGAAAGTTTATTACCGTTAAATATTAATATGTTTATTTTAAGATCATTGCAAAATCGTTATTTTTGATTCTTTTTGCTTCGATCAAGAATCATTAAATATGGATTCTTATTTTTTCGGTCAAATTTAATCGATATTTTGTGACGTACATTCATATATGTATAGGGTGCATTCCAAAACTGCAAAATACAAAGCACCATTATCTATTACCAGTTGAAAACTAGAATCTAACCGTGGTTGCGCACATTTAGCCTTTCAGTCTACTGGGGTTTAGAAATGCTTTGTATTTTGACGTTTTGGAATGTACCCTATATATGAATGTACGTCCCAAATATCAATTAGAAAATACGAAAATTAAAAATGAAGTAATTAAATTTTAAATTTTAAGGGCCAAATTCACAGTGCGTAGTTAACTCAGAATCGGCAGTTAACTACAGATTTTGTACTAAGTTAAAATTTACACGCTATTATATAGTTTAGACAATTTAAAAGAATTTATCTTTCTCCTTGCAGCAGCCGTTCACGCTGAAACAACTTGCGAAGCTGTACTTAAAGCTCTTCTTGACACTTTCGAAAAGCTATTTAATATCAAAAACTATTTAATAAAAAAGTACTGATCATTTTAATAAAAAAGATGTCTTGCGAATCCTGTAGCGTCACACAGCGTAAAGCCTGGGTTTTTGGGTTAGGCACCTTCTTTACGGCTCTTGGTATTGCTTTACTTGTATTTTGGAATGGAATTGCGGATAACATTATGCGAAATGTAAGCACCCATTATAGAGGAAAATCTTGATTATTAATTGTTGCATTACTGTACTTGCAGAGTTTAATGTTAAAAGTTGGCTCTGAAGCCTATAACATTTGGGTGGAGGCGCCCATTCCAATTTACTTAGAATTCCATATATTTAATTGGACGAACCCTGAAGAGATACGAAATCCGAATGTGAAACCGCACTTTGTTGAAATGGGACCGTATGTGTTTCTTGAGAAACACTTGAAGCAAAATATTACATTTTATCAAAACGATACAGTGTCATACTTCCAGAAGCGTACCTGGTTCTTCGATGAGCAGCGCTCCGGCGGATCTTTGAATGATATGGTAACAGCAGCGCATGTTATAACTGCTGTGAGTAAAACCGACAGGGCATTTTTCGGTAGTAGCTATATGGGTTTAATTTGAAATTTTCTCCTCTTTTAAAGACCATTGCTGACGAAATGCGACACAGAAACAAAGTTATAAAAAAAATTGTTAATTTCATGTTGAATCACGAAGGTGGTGAGCTATACACAACTAAGCCTGTACGCGAGTGGATTTTTGACGGTTACGAAGACAAATTAATCGACTTCCTAAATCGTTTCAATACAACAAAAATAAAAATTCCCTACACACGCTTTGGCTGGCTTGTAGATCGTAATGCTTCTGCCGAATATGATGGCCTCTTCACAATACACACGGGTGTCGATGATATGCAAAATTTGGGTCGTTTGACACATTGGAATAAAAGGAAAGAGACTGGGTTTTATGCCGCACCGTGTGGCACAGTTAATGGTACTACCGGCGATCTCTTCCCACCACATTTGAGTGCTCAACAGGAGATCACCATCTTTGCGACGGATGCATGTCGTTATTTGAATTTGGCCCCGAATGGTACTATTGAAAAACATGGACTAACGGGATACAATTGGGTTGGGACGGTCGAGACACTTGATTCTGGCGAAAACTATCCTAATCAGAAATGCTTTTGCGATCCAAGTTTTGACGAATGCCCGAAAACGGGAGTTGTAGATTGTAAAAAATGTCGAAATAATGCGCCGATTTATGCCTCGTTTCCACACTTCTATTTGGCTGATCCAACCTATCTAAACGCCGTAGCGGGCTTGCAACCGGATGAGCATAAACATAGTTTCAATTTGGCTATAGAGCCAAACACTGGTGTGCCTCTGCAAGTGAATGGACGTCTGCAAATCAATATGATGATTCAACCAGATGATGACTTTGAGTAAGTTTTTAAAATATGATGACTAACGCTTGAAATAATATGAAATTTAAATTTTTTTTTAGCATATATCGTGGTGTTCCGAAATTCCTAATGCCCATGTTCTGGTTCGATCAGCGTGCGGAATTAGACACTAAGTTAGCTAGTAGAACAAAGGTACGCTTACGCCTACGCTTTTCTAACTATAGACTTAATTTGGTAACCTTTTTTACCCTTTGCAGCTTGTTCTAAATTTGGGCGGCTATGGCTTCTACACTGGAGTCGGGTTGGCAGTGATAGGTGCTGTATTCTACATTGTTGGCGTAGTCTTAACAATAACAAAGCGATGGAAACGGATACCAAATTATGATGAAGATATGCTTACCACTTAGTAATTTGAATTTAGAATAGAAGTTGCAAATGCTTGTCATTTAGTTTATAAAATTAACTTCTTTTCGTTCTTTGAACACATGATACAAGTATTTAGAGATAAAACCGCTCGCTCAGTTCGTCGGCCGTGATTTTTTTTTTTAGTTTGTCTACTTTCCAACCAATTCGCTTATTATTAAAAAAAGTTATGTTACTGTAAGTAATAGAATGTCGTACATGCTCTCGGATTTGATCGCCAGTGTACGTATGTTAGCCATTCCTTTTTAAGTTGTAAGGATTTGGTAAAAAAATGATATGTCTCCGATTCGCTTCAAATTTTTTTTTATGGGTTCAGAGTTTGGATTTTTTCGTGATTCTGACTAATCATATACTTCTTCAAATCGTTATATCTCGGGTTCTGCTCTTCGTAGAGATTTCACCTTAACGCCGTTTTAAAGCTAAAGAAGCGGGCTTAACATGTCTATATATAATATGGTTGTGATTGTTCTAAAGCTAACTTAGCTATAAACATTTTAACTTTTTGAAGTGGGTTTGCATAGTGAAGACCAGTAAATTAGGGCTTTAAAATTACACCATCGTAATCCTTGTTTAGTTCTCTATAAAAAAACAAGATTCAAGATTTTTAAAATATTTTTTTTTGTGACGGGATGGTTTATTTTGTGAGTCGAAATTTTTTTGTTATTTGTTTTTAAAAAGTTATGATGAGATATTTTTTTCAAGGTGTTAAAAATGGGTTTTTATCCAGAAATAATATTTGTATGGCAAGATTTTAAGGCGACAAACCTCTAGAAATGGGCGTTGCAATTGTGGGACTAAAGTTAGCAAAACGCAGTTTTTATTGCGGATTTCGGCAGAATATCCCTTCGTTAACCACATTTGTTCCGCAATATAGTTATTCTGGCGAAATCCACAATAAAATCTAAATTTTTGAACATTGGTTTTAAAATTGCCACACCCATTTCTAGAATATTATTTGATTGAATAAGTTTTCGAAAACAAATTACAAAAAATTGTTGACTCTCACAAAATAAATTATCTCGTTAAAAAAAACATATATTTCAAAAATAGTTATTGAAAAACGCCAATTTTTTACCATGTTTTTCATAGAGACTTGTTTAATTCTGCGATAATTAAGACTGCGATGGTATAATTTTAAATCCCTAATTTACTGGTCTTTACTATGCAAATCAACTTCAAAAAGTTCAACTGTTAATAGCTAAGTTAGCTTTAGGACAATCTTGACCATCTTATATATAGACATGTTAAGCCCGTTTCTTTTGCTTTAAAACGACATTAAAATGAAGTCTCCACGATGAGCAGCACCCGATATATAACGATTTGAAGAAGACCATGATAAGTCAGAACACGAAAAAATCCAAATTTTGACAGATCAGATCTCCGAAGAAAAAAATGAAGAAGAAATTTCTTCGAATACGTGTTAGCTTATTTCATGTATAGAACTCATAAAATAAAATTTGAAGCGAATCGAAACACCAAATTTGGTGCCCGATATGAAAAATAATGTCTCATGAGTGAGATTGAAAATTTGATAACATTTTTGTTACGGTAGCAAACTTCAAAAATATTCAGACTGCCTCTCAGCGGTTTTACCTTTAAATTTTTGTATCATGCTTTGAACACATATATATGTTTGTACAAATCAAGTTAACAGTCGCCAAAGTGCCAGTAAATATTCTAGTAACGGAACAAGTCTGTGAGAACTTGCACATTATACTTATAAAATACTTATTTACGATATTGTTATCTATTATTCTGATTGGCTAAGCTGTTTTTGTGTCATTGGCTCATATACATATTTTTAGTTAAAAATAAAAAATTATATACATACATATGGGATGAATCAACTTAAGGATATAAGGATGGAGCATTCCGTGGTCGCGTACCGAAAAATTTAACTGCCCTTATTATAAGACATGTCCGTCCGAGCACACGATAACATGAGTAAACCCTGAGATATCTCAACGAAATTTTGTACATCGATATTTCCGAAATCACTGGGTTCAAACTGTTGAAAGTGGGAATGTGAAGTAGAATATTTGCATTAGACATAAGACAATTATAAAATTTTTGGAAAATGTGAGTGCCACCGCTCACTTATGATGAAGTATGTACATACATAAATCAGTAGCCGCTTTACCAACCTCCACCAAACTCGTTACGTACGTTCACTTCTTATAGCCTATTTCCACCAAAGGCTTAACTGCAGTTAAGAGCTCAGAGAAGTTCAAATAATTCCAACTTGGGGTGATTGGCAAGGTTTTTTCTTAAGTTTTGCTTTTCTTCTTTCGTTTGCTTCTACTTAATAGGTGGAATTACCCCATTCGAGTTGTGATCTCCGTTTTTCAAACGGCATAAACTGCAGTTAAGGCTTGGTGGAAATCAACTATTAGAGTCTTACTGAGAAATCTGTTGAACATTTTTGAAATCGGACTAAAATTACTATTGTTGAGCAGTATCGATACCAAAAGTACTGAGAACTCGATTCTCAACAGTACTCTTCTTCTTCTTATCTGTAACCGCCTAAGCGATTTTGGCCGAGTTCAACAAAGCACGCCAGTAGTTTCTTTTCTGTGCCAACTGGCGCCAATTGGAAATGCCAAGTGAAGCCAAGTCCTTCTCCACCTGGTCTTTCCATCTCAGTGGGGGCCTTCCTCTTCCTCTGCTACCACCAGCGGGTTCCGAGTTGAATACTTTCAGAGCTGGAGCGTCGGTGTCCATTCGAACGACATGACCAAGCCTACCAAACGCTTTCAAATAAAACATTTGCCTATTTGAAACTTTGAGGCGCTTAAAGCAAGTGAAGAAAAGCTGCCATTTGGGCAGCCTTTATACGTTTTAGTATATTCCAAATAATGTTTGACACTTCTCGCAGCGAAGCAAGCAAAGCAAGCCTGCATTGGGCCAGTACCTTCAGACTTGACTTGACTTACTTAAAAACTTAGACGCCATTACTCAGTGTGTCACCTATTACCTTTTCTCTTTGTATAGACACAACCTAAATAAACAAAAGACAAATTCCAAATACCAAAACCGGTCAAAATATCGCAATTCTTTAAATTCGTGGACCACTATATGTATGTACATTAGGGTGGTCCAAAAATGCATGAAAAAAGTAAAGTGGATTGTTATATATCGAAAAAAAAATATTTAGAGGTCGCTCAAAGCGCTCAAAGTTTTCCATATCGTCACTAGACACGAAAAAAGGCGCGAGCTCAAAAGTTGACGGCGAAAAAAGACGCATAAAAAAACTTCAGCGTCAAAGACTCTTAATATACTTGGCCGAAGTTTTTCATAAGCATCTTTTTTTACGCGCCTTTTTTCGCCGTCAAAACACTAGCGCGCCTTTATTCGCGTGTAGTGACGATATATTTTGTATGGGGAAAAGAGAACTTTTCGTGGAAATGGTATGGAATGCTTCAAAATCAATATTTTTCTATCGGAAAAGTCTGTTTATATGCACGAGATCCCCAATAACAATACCCAATTATTTATTTAACCATTATTTCATCGCAACTATAATTTATAGGTCTGCCAAAAACCATAAAAACCCCGAAAAATGCAATGGGCGGACCAATAAAAAATTTGGTATTATTATTGAAAGTCTCCTGAAGAGACCCAGAGTATTCCGATCGAAAAAAATTGATTTTCAAGAATTCTATACCATTTCTACGAAAAGCTGTTTTTTCCCCATATAAAAATACATGGAAAACTTTGAGCGCTCTGAGCGACATCTAAATATTTCTTGATTTCAAAATAAAAAAGTAGGGGTATACTTTTTTCGATAAAGAACAATCCTAGGGGAGTGAGAGCATTACAATTCCGACTTTACTGTTTTTCTACCACCCTAATGTACACACATACCTAGCATATATGTTCTTATGCATTGAGTGCAAAAGAGTGTATTTTAGTAGGTACAAAACGAAATGAAATTTTATGTTCCTTAATATTTCTTGTTAGCACTATATAAAAAGAGTTTTATGTAATGTACCTAAATATTTACGCATGCATATGTATGTATGTACATACATGTGTATGTAATGTTGCATAACAAGCCAATTAATTCGACTATTTGTTTTCTTTTGTTTTGTTAACTCCGATAAATTAACTGACTTTATGAATTAATACATTTATTTATAACTAGCTATACCCTGCCACGCTTTGCTGTGGCATATTTCTGTTACAATGATGATAAATTATAATTAATAATAATTATTAACGAAACAAAGCATACGTTTCATATAAGTTTGATTTTGTAATAAGTACTTGTGTGCACACAATATTTGTCGTTTTCCATTCTCTGCATTGATATCAAGGGTATCTGGTTTGCCGGCAATCGAAATGGCGTATCGCGGAATCATGGTAATTCTTCACCTTTGAAAGGCCACGTAAAAATCTACTTACACTACGTTCTTCATCAATTTCTTAACTGCGAGTCGCGTACCGTCGCAGAGTTTTGGCTGATTAATACTCCGCAACGTGATAATTGTCACACCTATTTTCAATTAAGTATGTGGGTTATCCCTGGAAGATCAATCGAGTTCAAAAATTCCGTTGGATAATTAACTGATTTGTCTTTTTCCACAACGGTGTTTATCGACGTATATGTTATTGTTTAAGCGACTTATGCATTTCCCGCATTAACAAAGAACAGCGAACACACAGACGCATTTATATTGCATTTCCCGCATAAACTAAGTGCATCGAATACACAAACGCACTTGTGTTTAAATGTAATTCGCTCGTTCTTAATTGGGTATGCATTTTTAAGCAATTCTCAAATATCTCTTCGCTGAACTTAGTGAAGTGATAAGTCGCTGGCATTTTCAACTATGGTCAACGCTAACTCAGCTTGGCTATCACACGGTGCTTTAAGCATCACCCACACTCCACTCCCGGAGTCATTTTTGGCATGGTATTAAGCTACTGCTTACAAACCACACTGGGGCTCTGCACGAATGCATCCCTGGATAAATCCCAGCTCATTGCACAGAAGCCTACGGCAGCTAGAGCATGACTCCTCCAATGGAGTCCCCCAATGAATACACGGTGAAAGGGTAACATCTTGCGCTACCGCTTCATCAGCCTGCCCGCCTATCTCTCTGTCTCTCTCTTTCTCTCTCGCATATCAGGCATATGAAGTGCGTTGCTGACTTGATGTGCACCTATAAACCATATGGGCTCATGGAGCTCGATACATAAATACTCGCAACGGTAATCCCTACCTCCTCAACTACTCTAACTCGACCACAACTCTAAACCTGGTCTCCCGCTCTCCCTCAGCTAAACAGTTATTTCCTCACTTTGAATGCTGGATTGAATATCATTTGTGGTATTCACCAAAGTGAGGAAGTGGCCTGGCAGTCTGGTAAAAGAGCAGACCAGCTCAAGCAACGACTGTTGTCAATACCACTCTTATTTAGTTGCTAGACATCCTTATTCCTCGCAGCAAGAATAGCTCGTTCAATGAGCCTATAATTAATTTTCTTAATTAAGAAACATTCTTTCGATCAGTTCTCCTTTCGATGTTCCTAAGTTACAAAAATTATCAGGCAATAAAATTCGTCTT